GCTCAGCCGCTTTTCTGCATAAAATATTGATGAAGTGTTGAAATTTGGATCAACAAAACATAAAATATGTGGGCATACATTATCTTGTCAGTTTCATAATCTCATCCAAGGTGGCTGACTGATAGCCAGTTTTCATGCTAGATTTTCTGAATAACTCACACATGCATACTAACACTGACTATTCTCTGCTTATTCTGACTAACTCATTTCATCTCCAGGATTCAGATTATTTGTTTTGTTAAATGCTAAATTAAATGCAAAATTGTAAATTAAAATCATAAATTACTCTTTTTCAGACTTTAAGCACTATGTACAAGATAGGTGCATCTGTCTCCGTAGAAAGTATCAAAAGGATGAGGAAAGTGTTGATAGGCAAGCAAGTTGCCCATATTAAGGAAATGAATCAAAGAAAAAGACAGGAAGAAATGGAGTATGGTTCACGGAAGTCATTAGATCTACTTAGTAAACCAGAGTATGGTATAGCGTGTGAAGCACTGTAGTTGTCCTTGTCTCAGCAGGGCAATTAGTGATAATCATTCTATGCAAGGGGAGAATCAGAACCCCACTATCTTGCCAAGTGAAACCATCAAAACCATTATAGGGGAGTATATTCAATTACCAGAAGTGAGTTATGCTGGTGGTTTTGTAGAACAACATTCTGCTATGCCTGTGCGTAGCTTCACTGAGGTTTTTACGACCAACATATTGGCTATTCCAAATCCCAAGGTTGTGGATAGTGGAATGTCAGAATGGAACAACACTTTGCATGCAGACAATGATTCCAGTGGTATAGAGAAAGTTCTTGACGAAATGAAGATAGAAACTGTAGTGGGAGAGATTGTTTTTCCCAAGATAAGTAGAATATCCTTTGTAAATAATAACAATTGTGGAGATAACGTGAAATCAAGTGCAAATCAGCATTCAACAGCACGTTATTTGGAAAAATACCTGAAGTCATCTGAGAAGGTCAGATATCCTACATGGGACATCATAGGGGACAATATAGACTGGACTAAAAACCCATCGTATATGACAAAAGATAGACAACGTGAAAGCATCCATTGGTTTCTCAATGTGGGTGTCAAAAGAAGAATTACATCAAACAGTCTTCTTGATGTACCACGCATGAATATTCTTCAATTCCCAGCAACAAAGTTTTTGCCATCAATCGCAGAATGTACATCACTCAATGACAACTTTACACTGCATATTGGCAACATAATTGTGAACAATGTCAAAGCACTGAAATTCCTGATAGACAATCAGTCTCCTTACATTGAACATCCATATTTGAAAGAAACAAGTAGAAAGTCTGACTACGTTATTCTAGGGCTATTGGACAAGAATGAAAACAAATCAGATGACATGATTAGTATATTGGAGCATATTCATGCCAACTATATCCCACATACAGAGGAAGAGAGACCACATGTTATTGGTGGCAAGAGAGTTTTTGGTGGTGATGTTCTTACCAATGAACGTGCATATACTGCTCAAGCTGCAAGAAAAAACTTCTTGGGGACAAGTTATGAAAATTGCGAGGGATTAATTCATCGACCCGAAGGACTACATCGCTTAATGAATCTTGTTCAGGTAGGTAGTTTCTTCGTTCTACAATATACCGTATATTACCAAAATGTGGATGTTATGCTGAAAGCAAGTGATATGTACTGACATAGTCAAAATGTACACCAGTGAATAGATTTGCAGTGAACAGAGTCTACATTGTTCCTCAGTCTCTTCCCTGATTGTGTGAGACTAAACAGAAAAAGTCTGTTGCGTTTTTGAGTTCACTGTTAGGTCACACAAGAGAATGAAACAATTCAAAGATTTATGAACCTTAAGTCATGTAATTTGTAAATCCTTAACTAATTCAAATTTCTAAATGACAAATATGAACAGTTGGCAAGGTAACCAAACAATTGATTGATTGCTATGACACATGCTATTATTTGATTTACAGCTTATATATCAAACCTTCTATAATTATAATGTAGAGGCTGGTGAAGAGTTTGGATCATTGTTTCAACTGAGGAATAGTATAAACAGATTAAATGTAACTGGTTCTGATGCTGTACATAAGAGTTACAGGTTGGTTTTTTACAGCTCACAATGGAAATATAACTGAAACAGCTATTTGTTAAATTTTATTGATTCTAATAATAGTGTAGAAAAATAATTTTGTATTTCAAGGTAAATATTCCTGCAAGCCCTTAACTATCACACCATGCAAGATTAATGAATTAGTACTACCTAGAATAGATTTATTTATTCAAAAAACACCAGTGTTTGTTATTAAATAAATGTACTTTTTTGCATATTCAGAGCACATTATGTATTTTTAGAAGATACATTGAAAGCATATATCATTGCTGGAGCTTTGGAGTTGTTGGGGATACAAGAGCAAGAAGAAACACCAATGTGTGATCTTCCAACTTCATCAACAGATCTAGAAAAGGCAGACTGGCTAAAAAGATTCTCTCGAAAGATCCTACAAAAATACATACTACTTGACGAAGAAGGTAATTTTGTTTTTGATAGTTAAAATAATGAACTATATTATGGAATCGCTGTAGAAAATACTGTCAACAGCCTTCTAAAAATGTTTATAGGAAGGTCCTTAGACCTTCATAGTCTGTTACAACTTGTATAACTTTCTTTGGTATTGACTTTGCCTTCATTTGAGATGATATCCAAAAAAACAAATAAGAGCTGACAGTTTACTCAGCCCAAGGTCAAACATACATGAATGCAACTTTTGTCATTTAGTGGAAAAACGGTTACTTGATTGGGTTCAAAATGGTCGACTAGTAACCATTTTTTTTTCAAACAAGCAACCTGTCAGCTGAAATAGCTCCGCTGTTAGCAATGCACATTTCAATTGAGAACTGAAGATATCATTAGAAAATGAACAATATGTATAGTATCAAAGCAATCAGACTTGTGGTTTTTTAACAAGAAGTCGAAAATATCACTTTTTACCAAAAATGACAAAAATATTCACCAAAAATAGAGAATTTGAGATTTTGACATGATATGAACAAATCTGAGAAAGAACCATCCAAGGTACGATCGGTACGGACGATCAGTAATATGATGACTTTGTCGACAGCGGAGCTAAAAATGCAGTTCTTGATCCATTTTGTAACAAATGTTATCAACTACAGTACTCTGGATAGGATAGCTTCCACATTTTGAATCTCACAAATTGCAGATTTATTTTTACCTAACCGGATTCTTGTTCTTACACTATTCTTAAATATGTTATTATAAATATCTCCTACATCAAATCAGTGCCTTAAATTAAATCTGCACACAGGACTTTATATACTGTGGTACATTGCTTGCGAAATATGTATCAGCAACAGCGAAACTGTATCAGCTGACACTCTTATTTCAGAATTGTTAACAGTTTCATTTGAACTAGACAGTCTAATAAACATAGGTACGGTTTCAATTTCCATGGGTGCAATATGTTATAAAACACAAATATTGTATGATAGCTATAGCTATGTTTCTAAATACAAAATTATTATGCTATACAATCATCATCAAATAACAAAGTCCTTTCATATATTATTCTTTCCACAATTTGTAGTATGCATGTTTATTTCTATTGGAGATGTTTTTCTAATAAAGCAAATATGGTATTCATGTGTTATTTTTAAAATTTCTGCTCAGTAAAGAACATTTTCTTCTGTCAATTTCAGGTATTGTTGCTGAAGATGATATCCAACATACTGTAGATGTTCATGAAATGTATAATGGAGATAAATACGTGTGTCACTGTGGCAAGGAGTATAAAACACTTTGTTACTATAGAAGACATCTTTCCACCATACATAATACAGCAGTAAGGAATACTACTGGCAGTAATTTACAACCAGAAATTGTATATCGTTCATCATTAATGAAATGTTTATTGTTATTATTTGACACTCAGGATGCATACAAAATGGGTGATGGAGAACGAATTTTTCGAAATGCGAAATTTGATTACACCATGTCAAAGGTCATACAAAATATCGCCTCTGGCGAATGCTAGCATACGAGTGTGCCATTCTCAGTGAAAAGGATGCATTTGAATACAAATGGAACACAACCACCAATATTCTCGGTGGAGTGGGGAGAAATATTCCAAATGACAATTTAGTAGAAATTCAAGTACACGCGATAAAAGAAAAAATGAGGGCACAGGGTGCAAATGTGACATTTAAATCTGCATGTGAGGCTGCAATGTCCACACAAATCATTGATCAAATAACAGATCAAATCAAAGCAACATGCAGTGTTCGTGTTCATGGACGCAAACAAACTAAACCTGATAAATCTGATGATCTGCAGTCTATGATTAAAGACCTTTTTAAATCAGGAATGTTTGGCCATAAAACTGGGAAATTCAAATTACCTGCTTACAGAAAATTCACTGATGTCTTCATGAGAGTTGATTACATTGCACTGTACAAGTGGATTATTTTGCACCAAAAAGAAGCTTTTTCTGAAATAAATTGATTGTATAGTTGTGCATGTCATGTGTACATCATGTTTGCATAGCAAATAATTAACCACAGACTTTGTTTGGACAGAAATGTGATTTTCTATATTTTATGGAAAAAAAATGTTATGTTTGATGAATACAAATTACAATATTCACTTGATATTATACATGTTTATTTGATTCTGTAGCATCATACCTGTATGGAATATAAACCCATGTACACTACTATGAACACTTAGATTTAGCCCAGAAAAAAAAAGCATGCATTTACTATGGTTACCCCATGCCATATTTGGATTACATGGCAAAGACCACTGGAATTTCACATTTGGGCAATGTGGCAAAAATAAATAAATTTGGTCATTTATAATAAAGTGTCTCTGTATTTCATTGGGCAATGTCAACATACGAAAATGCTATGTAACAGGAGGTTGGGCTGCACACAGAAATTGCAGGTTTGGGAAAAAAATCAATTTGACACAATAAATTATGAACACTAGATTCAATCATAATATGCAATATCATCATATGAGTAAATATCATCTTCATCATTTGTATAGACAATGTCAGAATCATCAAAAATTACATTTATAATTTTTATCACCTCCTTTGCATGTGCATATGACCAAATATGAATATGCTGCATTACATCATCAGCAGAAAATAAACAAGCACATTTGTCAACTATTTCTCCAATAACAAACTCTGAAAAACCATGTGACGCCTCAGAAGGTACAATAAATGATTCATCACACACATCAAGATTTATTGACACTCTATAAGCATCAAGTGCAGATGTTAGTAACTGTTTTTGTTCAGTTGTCACATTTCTAACAACATGTGATGATGGGATCCTCTTGGTTTCTTTATAATAAACATGTTGCATTGGGCATACTTCCTGCTCACATGTACAACTTTGCTCACAAATGTCACAACAACAATGGTTATGAGTAATTGCATCACTGCTACCGGTACACGTTACATTATAGTTTTGAAGGAGGATTTTCCTTCGACATTCTGTTTGGTTACGAATGTATGATAACATATCAAGATCTATCTTTCGAATCTGAGTTTTATTGTAGATTAACAGTTGTTGTGACTGCTTGCCATCTCTTCCTCCTCTCCCTATTTGTTGCAGAAAAGTGTCCAGTTCTCTGGGTGGACCATAGTGAATAATATTATGGACATTGTGAAAGTTCACCCCCATTCCAGCAGCATTAGTGCAAATCAATACTTTTATGTTTCCATCAATGCTCATATCTTCCTTTATTAGTTGTTTAATTGCATTAGGGGTCTTGCTGTGAAACATATTATACATTCTACCCAGTGATTTCAGTTTTGTATTAAACAGAAAATGGATTCTTGCACAGTCCTGTATGGACTTGCAAAAAATGATGTACCTTTCCATATTTTCCTTCTGTTTCTCAAGTATTTCTAACAACCATTCAAATGATTCAGCAATATGGTTCTCTGTCCTTTTCACTTGTGCAATTCCTAATTTGATATTAGGTCTGTCTGGACTTTCTACCAACATTAATGTCCTTGTATTTTTCATATTTAACCTTGACATGATTTTCTTTCTCTTGGAAGAACTAGCTGTTGCAGTAAGAGCCATCAATGGCGCTGTCAAAAGTGAACGCAGTTCACCAATTCTGGAAAAACATTCACGAAAAGCTTTCTCACCTGGACCATCTTCACCCCTGCAATAAATAAAAATATATTTGTAATGCATTATGGTTATTATTTTGTGTTCTTAGTTCACAATCACCTCACAGAATTTCAATCACTCGACCCCCCCCCCCCTTAACATTCTACATTCATTGTTTTAATTTAGCTATTTTTGCTGATAAATTAAATCCGGTAAATGTACTAGACGTGAAAATGTTAAATAACAATAGAAATCACTACTTCACTGCCAAGAGAACTTAAAAAACAGTAAATGCCAGTGAAAATTAATGGTTTTACAATGGGTGCGTCTAGAATTGTGTATAGTATTTTTTTGTTTTTTATCTGGTCAAGTCAATGTAAAAGTGTATGAGGCTGGCAGGATAAGGGTTAATGATGAATAGCCCGTGATTGCTTATTTTTCGTGATATAAGGCAAAATACAGGCCATTATAATTATTGGAAACTCAGTATTGACATACACATAGTTAAAACAAAATACCAACCACAATGTTACTGTGTGGGCTTCGTCAACTACAATGGCAAGCACTCTGGTTTGGTAGACGTCTGATTTCCACACCTTTCTCCATTTTTCATTACCAATTATCATTTCTGGACTGCCAAAAAGCACTTGAAATTTTGCATTCCTGATGTCTTCATCTTCAGTTTCATTTCTTCCGATGTATGTTGCAGTGACATCATGGGCTCTGAGGTATAACACCTGCTCCTCCATAATACTCAGCAGTGGTGACAAAACTATCACCACGCTCGATGGTCGCAAAGCCGGCAAAGCATAAAAACATAACGATTTACCACTTCCAGTGCGACTTACAACGAACACATCACTGTCAGAACTAAGTAAAGCTTGAATAGCTTTGGTCTGAATGCCTGTAAGTTGTTTGATGTCTGGATATTGTCGCTGTATTGCCTCGACATCCAAGCCTACGCAGCTTCCACTGTGCGCAGCCATATTTGTTTTGAAAGTTTGCCCAAGCGCGTTGATGAAAGAAGCAATCTAATTGGCTGTTGATAAACTGATTCTAAACTGTGGGGGCACTGTCACATACATACAGTTCTGATGAAATACTTCAAGGTGATAGTGGAGTGCTTTGCCGGAACATTCACCTTGAAAATTCAAGATGACGGAATGAAGGAAAATAACATTTTTTATAAAAAATACAAGACACTTCGCAATGGGCTTCTCTCGCGTCAGCAATATTTTTTTCACTATTTTATAAACTAACTCGGCAATTACCACCACCAATTAGACAACATTTCAACTATTTTTTCAACAAATCCAAAATCACTCTCACACACATAATTTTAATGCATTCGTGTACACTCACCAAAAATACCCTCAAAATAAAGA